CCTGGGAACCGCACGGGCCCTAAAGCGAAAACCCCCCCAAAAAAAAAAAAAAGAAAAAGAAAAAAATTTGGACTGGCGGCTTGAAACTCAACCACGCCGCCCTGAGGAAAACGGAAAAGAAGGGATTGCAGCATGGCCATCCCCCAGGATCATTTCTCACTTTCTCTCTCTCTTTATCTCTCTGGCAAGCACAAGCACCCTATAGCAAAAATTCAAATTTTTTAATTTTTTGCTAAGAGTGTCGGTTGAAGAGCAATGACCTCCAGGAGTTTAGACCCTGAGTCAGGCACGCTGTCCATTCATTCATCTGCAGCATTTGATGGAGTCCAGCTGTGTCTGGGGACAGGGTATGACTAAGGCCGATGAGGTTCTACCTACAGTAGAAGACTGTCCAGAGGACACAGACCATAAACACCCTACTGTTCTACCAATAAACATCACTCCCTGGGAATAATGTGGGCACTTGGAATGGGCCAGCTTGGAGGTCCTCCCTGAGGGGTGGCCATGAACCTGGGTCTGGATTATTTGAGGATCTTGCCAGCTCAGGCACAGTAGCAGGGGTTGAAGGAGCTGCAAGCTCAAGAGGTTCGATGACTTTAGTCCCATGGTAGTAGAAGGCTACAGAATATGTTCAGCAGTGAGGTGATAGGATCTGAAGCCATTAGAATGAGAGATACTGGTGGTGTGAGCAGACTTGCAGAAGGTAAAACAGGGAGACAGCACCAAGGTAGATGCTCAGAGATGGCATTTCTGATGGTGACAGCCACTCATCACAGGAAAGGCACCTGGCCATGGCCTCGCGCCAGGAAAGTGTTGGAAAAAAGAGGAGCTGTTACCAAGGTAGATGCTCAGAGATGGCATTTCTGATGGTGACAGCCACTCATCACAGGAAAGGCACCTGGCCATGGCCTCGCACCAGGAAAGTTGGAAAAAAGGGGAGCTGTTGGGCCAGCAGGTGGCATGGAAGTTCAGGTAGCTGGATCCCACATGACTGAGCCCATGGTCTGAGTCCCAGACTTGCTGGCTTGAAAATCATGCTGGGTGTGTGTGTGTGTGCATGTGCCCCAAATCCCAAGAGAAGTATGGAGGAGAAGGGATTGTGGTGTGGCCATCCCCACTTATCCTGTTTCTCTAGTGAGTGCATGTGCCCTATAGCCAAAACAAAACAAAAGGGTGGTAGAGAGCTATTGTCTTTTGTGCAGTAAGCATGTATAGAGTACCTGTTGTATGCCAGGCCCTGGACAGGTGACTGGAGCTACACAAGTGAAAAGATAGTCCCTAAATCCCTGCTTTCATGAAGTGCACACACTTAGGGGGCAGGGATGGAGAGTGGAGTGGAGTGACCAAGAACTGACATTCCCGGTGAGGAAAAGGGCCACAAAAAGAATGTCTTTCCTGAGGGAACTGGACCATTAGCCTAGTGTTTAAGGGAGCTGGATCCCCCATAACAGACTGTGGTTCAAATCCCAGCCCCAGCAGCTTGAGAAACACATCGGTGTGTGTGTGTGTGTGTGTGTGTGTGTGTGTGTGTGTGTACCCTAAATCCTGACAAGATAGAGAAATGAAGGAGAAAGGATTGTGGCATGACCCCCCCCCTTGCACACACTTAGGGGGCAGGGATGGAGAGTGGAGTGGAGTGACCAAGAACTGACATTCCCGGTGAGGAAAAGGGCCACAAAAAGAATGTCTTTCCTGAGGGAACTGGACCATTAGCCTAGTGTTTAAGGGAGCTGGATCCCCCATAACAGACTGTGGTTCAAATCCCAGCCCCAGCAGCTTGAGAAACACATCGGTGTGTGTATGTGTGTGTGTGTGTGTGTGTGTGTGTGTACCCTAAATCCTGACAAGATAGAGAAATGAAGGAGAAAGGATTGTGGCATGATCCACCCCCATTGGGGTGGGGGTGCTTTCTCTGTCTCTTCTGTCTGTCTCTGACAATTAAAAAAGAGAGAATGTCTTTCTGAGAGAGGACCTTCCTGAGGAGTGCAGCTGAAGTGGAGACTTGGAGGAAGTGAGGGCAGATGTGTGGCTACCCTGGGGGGAAAGCTTCTGGACCAAAGGAGCAGCAAGTGCAGAGATCCCGAGGCAGGGAGATCTCTGTGGCCAGCCCTGAGTTCCTTTATCTGCACATTGAGAGCAGCTCCCCTGCAAGTGGAAATCACACCCTCTCCCCACCATTCCCCTCCCAGGGTCTCTTCCTCAACCCCTACCTGATCCTCAGTGTAGGCAAGGATGCCAGCCAGAGGCCCCTTGGCTGCTGCTTTTACGGCCTCCTTGATGGCCGAGTAAGGGGTAGGCTGGGCCAGGCGGCAGGTCAGGTCCACAACAGACACATCCGGGGTTGGCACGCGGAATGCCATTCCTGTCAGCTTCCTGGAGAATCCCACATCAGGGGTGGGAGTCAGAACCCCATGATATCTTCCTCCATTCCCCATTGCCTTGGGGCTTGGCTGATCCCTTGTGCTCCCCTCAGGGTATGGGGGCCAGTCCAGTCCTCCTGGGGTTGTCCCCACCCTGGTGCAGCTCCCTGTCCTCATACCCTTTGAGCTCCGGAATGACTTTGCCCACAGCGCTGGCAGCCCCCGTGGAGGCTGGGATGATGTTCTGATGGGCACCTCGGCCATCTCGCCAGGCCTTCTTTGATGGCCCGTCCACTGTCTTCTGGGTGGCCGTGTAAGAATGAACTGTGGTCTTGGGGAAGAAGAGGACTGGGTGAGGACTTTCTGCCCCTCAGCTTCCATATGCTTCCCGGGACTGGGGGTCCTAGGCGTGGAGTCTGGTGGGGCGCCACCGCAGACCACAGTGAGGGTACACACAGGCCGGGGTCCAGCCTTGCCTGGGGTCATAGAGTGTTTTAAAAGATTTATTCACTGGAGGGGACCTCTCTTCCCCAAACCATCTGTCTCCATTAATTTCATACACTCAGTGAGGCCTGTGAAGAAGGGATTGGGTTTCCCTGCCATCCTTCCTGCCCCAGCCCCTCATACCAACTCACCATCAGCCCTTCCACGATCCCGAACCGCTCATGGATGACCTTGACGAGGGGGGCCAGGCAGTTGGTGGTACAGGATGCATTGCTGAAAGGGCCCAGAGAGTTGAGTCCCAGAGCCGCCCTCCACCCTTGCCCCTCTCGGGCAAGACCTGGTTTTGTGAAACGTCCCGGTGAGGACAAGAGATCAGTGGGATGCTGTTAGACTGAAGGAGGCACCTAGGGTGCAGCTGGGGGAAGATGCCAGCCCTGGGGAATGGCCACGCCACAATCCCTTCTCCTCCATTCTCCTCTCGGGATCTTGGGCACGCACGCACACACGCCCAGTTTAAGCCATCAGGTCTGGGACTCGAACTGCAGTTGACTACATGGGAATCCAGTGACATAGACATTACGCCATCTGCTGGTCCCAGAAGTTGTATATTTCTAACGGATAGTTTCAGGGAAAACGTTAACACGATGGCTCTTGAGACCTTTCGGGGGCAAGTGGAAGCAGGTGTGAAAGAAGCACCAGGGGTCTAGTGAGGGGAGGAACAGACTCACCCTCCCCGCCGCAGGCAGGCCTGTCCTCTGGGCAGCATCCACCCACACCAGGACGGGGCTGCCCCTGCTACCTGACAATGTTCATGAAGCCAGGGTTGTAGTCATTTTCATTCACGCCCATGACGAACATGGGTGCATCTGGTGAGGGTGCACAGATGACCACACGCTGGGCTCCTGCCGAGATGTGTTCCTAGAGAGGGAGCATCGGGGTCAGGGGCTTCCACCACCCCAGCCCCCACCTGGTCCCAGGCACCCCCTACTTACCGAAGCTGCCTCTAGGGAGAGGTACACTCCTGTGGACTCTACCACATAGGGGCTCCCGACAGATTTCCAGGGGATTTCTTTGGGCTGCTTGCTGTGGGGAGGGGGACGAGGGATGTGTCAGGCTGTGAGGCAGTCACCCCTGCATGGGCCTTGCTGTCCCAGACCACAGCCTTCACCCTGCCAGGCCTGCAGCTGCTTGGCCCCACTCCCCAGGTACACTTCACTGCCCCAGATGGGAGTGCAGGCCTTGTCCCTCACTCCCCTCTTATTTTTGTTAGCGCATGTGTGTGCTCACTGGAGAGAAACAGAGAAAAGCACCCCCATGCGATTGGTCACACTGTGATCTCTTCTCCTTCATCTGTCCCTTTGAGGATTTTGGGCCTGCACGTACATGTACCCAGTATGTTTTTCAAGCTGTGGGGTCTGGGGCTTGAACAGCACGGTCAGCCCTATGGGATCCGGCTGCCTTAACCACAGGCCATGGAGCTAGCTCCAAGCCTTGCTTTTCACCACTGCCCCACTTTCCCTGTCTTGACTATAGTAACCCAGTATGCATGGGCACAGGCTGCCACCCCGAGACCAGGCCTCAGCTCTCTCAGGGGGACCATTCCTGACTCTTCCCAGCCTGGCCAGACCCTTTCTACAGTAGCTGCTCAGTGTGCGCGACTCACGGCAGTGAGGCCTGGCCAGCTGCTTTTTGGCCCCCAACCCTGCCAACCTTGCTGTGAGCCTTCCTAGCCCCTCTTGTCTTCACCACTCAGCTCCTGCAGCAGGCCTGGAAGACAGGCACCTACATCCAGGGTACACCACCCGGAGGACTGCAGTTTGGGGCAGCCATGGGGCCAGTAGTTTACATTAGAAAGGCAAAGAAGTGGCCTGCAGTTGGCACGGAGGTGGAGGTGGCTGGATCCCACATGGGCAACTGTGGGTTCAAGTCCTGGACCTGGTGGCTTAAAAAACACCTGGCACATGTGCATGTATGCCCCAGATCCCAAGTGTGGAGAAGAAGGGATTGGCAGCGTGGCCATACTCCTTGGGGGTGATTTCTCACTTTCTCTTTCTGCCTCTGGTGAGCACACATGCTCTATAGCAAACTTAAAAAAAAAAAAAGGCAAAATTGACTTTGTGTTTGCCAGTTTATAAATTTATGTTTTTACTTGATATTTGACAAATGTTTGTGTCTGAAACATTAAACATCTAGTATGAGGGGTTCTTCAGAAAGTCCACAGAAAGTAGGATTTCCAACTTTTTATTTTGCACCAAAATAAATTTGTACTTTAATTCCATTTTATTAGAAACTTTTTGAGGTTCCCTCATATTACTGTTTTCTACTTGGCTCCAGCAAACATGCATGAAATGCATAAATTGTATACTATAACAGTTCTTTCCCTTATAGAGTTTATCATATTAGGTTATCAGGAAAGTCACGATGCTTTTTTTTTTGCATTGAACAATACGTCATGACTTTCCCAACAACCTAATAAATAGCAGGGTTATTTGCTCCGTGGTTATTCACTACTGTCTGTCTCCTTGAGATCACTCCAAGGCAGTCGGGCTGGGTCTGATTCCTTTGCCATTGAACCTCCCACCCCACCCAAGGAGTTTTAATCAATGTTTATGTTTTGTTTTGTTTTGAATTAGCCTTTCTGCGCATTTGCTGAACACCTGCCATGTGTCCTTGTTCTAAGTGCTCTCTACCTGCATTAAGCTCATTTAAGCCTCACAAGCTGAGAAGTACTGCTCCTATCATGTTGCAGAGGTGCCAGGGTCAAGGCAGAGGTGAAGCTGGGCAGGCAGCTGGGCCCAGGACGCCTGAGTGTATGAGCGATCCGGCTTTACCGCTCCTCCCTGGGCCACAACACATGGTTCTTCTTTCTGCCTGCTCCTCTGCTCTGTCAGTCTTCACTTACTTGTCTGGGCCAACGAGCTCCTCTCTGATGCCCACCATTTCCTGCCTTCCAAGTTGGGGGCGCTTCAGCGGATTCCTCTCCATCTATTGCTCAGTTGGTGTTGGGGCAAGGAAAAAAAACCCAGCCCTCCCCTGTGACTGTCATGGGCCTTGCCCTTCTGCCTGCAGGGCTGTTTGGAGGGTTTCATTCATTCATTTGTTTCTTTTTTTTAAAGAGATTTTTGCTATAGGGTGCATGCCCTCTCCAGAGAGACAGAGACAGACAGAAAACAAGAAATCAGCACACGCACCTGGCATAAATTTTAAGTTGCCAGGTCAGGGATTTGAACCTGTTGACTACATGGGAGTCCAGTGACGTAACCATTACTCCATCTGCTGGTCTCATTCATTCATTCTTTAGGTAAGAATTAAGTGTCCGCCAAGAGCTAGGGCCTGTACGTGCCATGTCAGAGCACAAATCAATGGGGCCCTCCCTGCGAAGAGGCCACTGTGTGTGGGAAAGTGCTGTTTCAGGTGTTCCACGAACATGCTAACGTTTGTCATGTTCTCCCCTCCTCCCCCACTGCTGTCATGAGTGTGATCTCCATTCCTGTCAGCTACATGCAGAAACAGAGGCTCGAGTGAGTTTGCACCCTTGCCCAAGGTCACCAGGAATGGGCAGGACAGGGCAGGATGGAGTATGCTCAGACAATGCATCTGCACCAGTGCCTGGGTACACAGATGCAGTGCATTGTAGTGATCATCAGGGAAGGCCACACCGGAACAGGGTGTGTGTGGAGGGGGAGGGGAAGCATGCCCCAAGTGATGGCAATGGTGGTGCCCAGGCTAAGGTAACAAAGGACCCGTGTGACTAGTAATGACGGCACCACTGGGACTGGTTTTGGTTTCAAGCTTTCAAACTGGTGAAGCAGCTTCTGCCATTTTTACTAACTCGCTAGTCCCTGCCTTCCTTGCCTGCACTCTCTGCCTGGATCCCCGCCCACCTCTCTACAACCCCTCCTGTCCCCTTATCGCCCAGGCTACTCTCAGCAAGTAAAAAGAGGGCCACTTGGAAGGCTGGAGACTTGCCTGGGCTGGAGAGGGATCACTAGTGTGCATGTGTGTGTGTGTGTGTGTGTGTGTATGTGTGTTTTTGTGCAGTCTGAGGCCACCGCAGGGCCTGCAGTGGCTAATAATTCACCTTAGGACGCTAATGTGTGTTTAATGTTTCCCATTTTCTTTTTTCTTTTTTTCTTTTCTTGAATTCTTTTTTTTTTAAATAACTAATTTATTTTATTTCATTTATTCATTCATTTATTTTAATTTGACCAGAGAGAGACAGAGAAAGTGAGAAAGCAAGCCACCAAGTCCAGAACTTGAACCATGGTCAGCCATGTGGGAGTGTCCAGTGCCTTAACCACCCTGCTGGTCCCAATGTTTCCCATTTTCTATATTTTTAATTTTTCGATATTGTGAGAATGTCTGTATTTGAAGCAGAGCATACGTCCAATGTGACTGCTCTGGACTTACTTAGAGATATGCTTTGGAGAATATCTCTAAGAGAGGAGTGTTTTAATATCGGGAAATGGATTGTGAGAAGTCAGCATTCCTGGGTGTGAGAGGGACTAGCTCAAGTTCCAAGAGGTGGGTGGCCAGTGTGCCTAACATGATATGGAACGGCTGTGGGTGGTGCATTGGCTCACGTGGCCCCATGGGAGCTTGGAATTTATTTGTGGGGCTATAGGAAGCCACTGAAGGGTCAGTGGAAGACCAGGGAGAAGGGAGGAAGGTGGCCTTTTCAAAAGGCCTCTGTGCTGACTGCTGCTCAAGTCCTGGCCATCGGCTTGAAAGACACACCAAGTGTATGTGCACGCATGCACCAAATCCTAGCAGGATGTAGAAATGGAAGAGAAGGTACTTGTGCAAGACCATGCCTCACTGGGAGGGGAGGTGCTTTCTCCCTCTCCCCCTCTCTACCCTCTCTCTGTCTTTCTGTCTCTGGCAAGTGCACATGCCCTCTGGGAATAAATGGATAGGTAGATAGGTGCCATGGCTGGTGCAGGACCTGACTGGAAGGAGCTGGCTGGGCAGCCACGCCTTTTCCTGGGAAGGGAGACAATAGCTTGAGAGTGGAAGGGGACTCAAAGTTGAGTCGCTATGCCTGTGAGAAAACATGCAGGTGCATTAGAGAAAAGGTTTCTGGAATACAGTGGGTGAGTGCTGCTTAACCATTTTGGGGTCAAAACCTCTCTTGAGACTCCCTTCCCAGAGACATACACACAATTTGGGGTTTATGAACCCCGTGTGGGGCTGGAATCCCATGTGCGTGATCCCCACATCCCCCGCCTTCCCGTGTTGCAGGTCTGCCTTGGACAGATGCCGCCCTTACCACTGGTACACAGTGATCTCATGGTTGTCCACGACCAGCCGTCCGTTCTTGTATTCCACGCTCCCCTTGTAGCGGCCGTGGGTGGAGTCATATTTAAACATGTACACCTGCAGGAGGTAGAACAGGCCCTACTGTTGGGGTAGCAGAGTGAGTATGCCCAAAGTCCTCGCTTTGCTGAAGGTTCTACCTTGCACCAGGAGCCTCCTGGAAGCGCTCCCTGAGCCCCCTCCTCCTCCAGTTCTCCCTCTTGTTCCCACCCTCTGCCTGCTGCTCACCATGTATTCTGGATCAATGAACGGATCGTTCACTGCCACCACCTTAACACCCTTCTCCATGCAGGCGCGTAACACCAAGCGACCGATGCGTCCAAAGCTGGGCAGGGACAGGCAGAGGAAGGGATGAGAGAGAAGAGGGTGATGGGGAGGAGACCCACTGAAGGGGGTGGGTGGGAATCTTTGATCTGGGGAGAAAAGCAACCACCTCTGCGTGGGCTGTTGCCATCTCTTGCCAAGACAACCTCACCAGCCTCTTAACTGCTCTTGTTGCTTCCTCTCTGTCCACCCCAGCCTCCTATTCTTAGCCTCATAGCTGGGGAGGGTCTTGTACATTTCATCAGACCATGTCTCTTGGCAGGAAAACCTCCATGATGGTATCAGGAGGACCTCCATGATTGAAGCAGGACCCATCTCCTCCCCTGTGTGTACCAGGCCCCACACCAGGCTTTCTGCCTTCCTCTCTCCTTCCCCCTTGCTTGCCTTACATCAGCCACGCTGAGTCCCTGGCTGTCCTTGAATATGGTGAACTTGCCCCTGCCACCCCAGAGCAGCCACCCAGTGCACACTCAGGCCTCACTCCCAGAGACGGTCCGACCCCCGGCTACTGCTGCCCTCTCCAGCCTTACTGCCCTGGGGAGTTCTGTGTTCACAAACGCTTCACTCAACTACCTTGATTCCTCATTTGGTTATTGTTGTCAACCCCACCAGAATGTGAGCTCTCCGGGTGGGGTTCCGTCTACCTGTCTGACCCTGCTAATTCTCCAGGGCTAGCAGAATGAAAGCCCTGATGGGGGAAAATGTGAAGATCCCCGTTAGTTAGTAACCCCAGGAAGCTTCAAGATAATGGCTCCAGGGCCGGAGTGCACTCACCCATTGATGCCCACAGTCAGCTCCCGAACTGGGGAAATCTTAGGTGGAGGAGGAGGAGGAGGAGGTGGAGGTGGCTCGAATTTCACTTCCTCTTTGACTGGCTGTGGTTCAGGCTGTGGCTCAACCTTGGGTGGTGGTGGAGGCGGGGGTGGGGGGGGTCTGGCCACTGTGGGGAAAAAAGGGGAGTGGGGAGAAGAGCAGTGAGTAGCAGCATCCAAATGAAAGTATGAGTTATCTTGGCCTTCCACAGCCAGCCTGCTGCTAGCTCCTGGCCCCTCATGGCCAGCCACCTGGGAATACTGCGGACTGGCAATACCAGGGCCCCTTCCCTGGAGATTGGAACTCAGAGACTGTGTATTTTTTTTTTTTCTTTGAGAGGTTTTCTGCTATAGCGCGCTTGTACTCGCCAGAAAGGCAGAAAGATAAAAAGTGACAAATTACGCCCCCTCCCCCCCCGCAGGGGGGATGGTCACGCCGCAAGCCCTTCTCCTCCATTCTCCTCTCCGGATCTTGGGCACCCACGCACAGGCACCCAGTGTGAGTTTAAGCCCCTGGGTTGGGGACTCTAACCGCGGTCGACTACGTGGGAGTCCAGCAACATAGCCATTACGCTAACTGCTGGTCCCAGAGGGTGTGTATTTTTAATAATTGCTTGGGGGGATATTCTCTATACTTCAGATTTCTTCTCTGTAAAAAGGAGATAATAATAGCACTTTTCTGTCAATGTGAAGATTAAACGAGGTGATATATTTATGATAGAGCCTAGGAAATATTCTGTACCTTAGTACTTTGAAGATAATTTCCTGGACTTGTCTGATAAGTGATCTACCCAGGTGGTTCCCAAACTGGTCTCATGATAAGGATCAACCAAGAGACCTCTTTGCAGAAAAATTTGACCCAGCAGGTCTATAATGAGGACCAAGAATCTAGTTTTTTTTTTTTAATTTTTAATTAATTAATTTATCTATTTATTTGTTATGATTTTCAAGCTGCAAGATCTGAAACTTGCATCACAGTCAGCCATGTGGGAATCCAATGCACTAACCACCATACCACCTGCTGGCCCCAGGAGTCCAATTTTTTTTCTTTTTCTTTTTTTTTTTTTTTTTTGAGAGGCTTTTTGCTATTGGGCACATGTGCTCACCAGAAGGACAGAGAGAGACAGAGACAGAAAGCAAGAAATTACCCCCCAGGGGGAATGCACACACGCGTACCTGGCGTGAGTTTAAGCCACCGGGTCCGGGACTTGAACTGTAGTCGACTACATGTGAGTCCAGCAACATAGCCAATACACTAACTGCTGGTCCCAAGGAGTCCAATTTTTAACAAGCACTCCTAAGTGTTTCTTATCCTCTGGGAAGTTCAGGAAATAGTACCACATGTCATACTATATACAACAAATGGAAACCACTAGCTGCTCTTGCTACTCCGCACACACACTGCCGCCCACACACAGTTAAAAACGCCTGTGGGTGGTGGTGTGCTTCTTCCTGTGCTACAGATGAGTGTTTGAGGAGAGAAGTGGAGACTGCAGTCAGGGGTCCTGTGGGTGGCAGAGAGTTTTAAGCTGAGAAGACAGGCCTGGCTCCACTCTGGCTCAGTCACCTGCCTCTGTGTGGCCTTAGGCAAGTTAATAAACCTCTTTGGCCCGTTTTCCTGGATGTCAGTCACATCCGATCCTCCACCTACGGGCTGCTGTGAGGGTGCAGTGAGATCTCAAGACCTGTAGATTTTAATAGAGAAGGGGAGCTGGCTGGCCCTGTAGCCTGGTGGTTAAGGAAGCTAGATCCTGTCTGGCTGACAAGCATGGTTCAAATCCTGGACCCAGTGCCTTGGAAAATATGTGTCCAAAATCCCAACAGGAGACATGGAGATGGGATTGCATCATGACCATGCCTTACTAGGGAGTGGTTTCTTCCTCTCCCTCTCTGTTGCGTGCACATGCCCTCTGCCAAAAATACACAACTAAATATAAATAGAAAGTAGGAGGGAAGTCTGATACTAGGCATTCATACAGAAAGTGAAGAAGAAAACAGCTGGATGATAGTCGGGTTGCTTTTAGCACCAAAATCAAAGGCGCCTGGGAGGGAGTGGAGCCAAGAGCGGGGGGCCAGCTAGCCTGTCACCCTGCCGCGACAGACCTGTGGCCTGAGGTTGGGCGATAGGTGTTTCCAGTAGAAGTCCAAGTTCATAAAGGTATTAATAGTGCTTATTAGTGGCAGCAACCCTGTGGTTATTGGTGACCTTGAGGGTGTTTGCATTCCTGGGGCTCTGAGCCCACTCAGCCACCTTTTGAGAGAAAATTCAGATGGTCCTTCTCTCTCAGCTCCCTTCCACTCCAGGGATGGGTACCTGGGCTGGGGACAAGCTGTGGGGCTAGCCAGGTGCTGCACGGAGCTCCTGGGGGATCATCTCCCTGAATCCCGTGGGTATGGGCTGCAAACCCAGTTACATGGGCAAATGAAGCAGGGGTTACCGCTGGCAATGACCAGAGAAGCGGTTCAAGTCTCGGGGCTGTTAAGCCTTCTGTTGTGTCTCCCAACCCCCCCCACCCCCGGGGCAGTGGCCAGGTGCCCCTGCTGGGTGGAAAGGGAGCAAAGTGCCCAGCAACGGGAGTTGCCTTCCCGGAAGGCCTGGAGTTCGAACTTGGTTTGTTGAGAGAACAAACAGGAATGTATGGTTTGCCCTCCTCTATGCTCAGTTGGCCGCTCTGTAAGACGGCGACAGCGAACACGCTGCCTCCGCACTGCGCCTGCTGCACAACACCGGCCCGGGGCTTCAGAGAGCGCACACCTAGCACCGGAGGGCAGGCCAGTGCAACGCGGAGGGGACAAGGCCCACCAACACCCAAGCGCCCCTTCCGCGCTGAGCACGCGCACTTCCATTTCTGGAGAAACCTAGCCTGCCAGGTTCTCCCCACAGATGCCCCTCGTGACCTCTGCTCTTCCTCCCACCCTCGGCTCCAGCCTCGATCTGGGCCCCTGCTTCTGCCCTTTCCACCGCGAGGTAGCGCCACAAAGCCCACCCACTCCTGGGAGCAGAGTCCTGGTGGGCTCCACCACCGCCATAGAAACCACTTCGCCAGCAAATCCAGGTAGGTGGGAAGGATGAGGCTGTAGGGAGGGAAGGAATTGGCTCCTGGATGAAAGGGACCTGGCAGGTGAGTGGCTGACCCACCCCGGCAACTCGTGCCTCCTGCCTTCCTGGTGGACACTGGCTGGAGCGCACGCACGCTACTCTCCGGTTGGAAGGGGCTATCGGAGGCAGCGAACCCGTCCTTTCTTCCCCTCCCCAGGGTCGCCTCGCCACCTGCCTTACCAGGGCACGGCTGTCGCAGCAGCTGGACAACAGTAACATTGGTGAGGACGACATCGCGTTTCGACATGGCTACTTAAGGTATCATGGCCTAGCTGTCCCGGGACCCGCCGTGATGTTACTGATGCGCGGGCGCCGGGGCTAGTGGGTTGCGAGCTTCTTGTCGTGACGTCACAGTGTCCCGTGACGTCACAGAGGCAGCGTGCAGGCGGGAGACCCAGAGGCCTCACAATACACATCGAGGCGTGACGTCTTCCCGTCTTCACGTGGCGCACCATAGTTCTAAGGCCACCCGCAAGCGTCTGGCCTGGTATTAAGTGCTCGCCCTGGTGCTCAGAGTCCCTCCCCTGCCCCCTTAGCGTAGTGGCTCCATGCTGCTCCTGAGTGTCCCCGGTGGATGGTTTCCCTACGCCTGAGGGCCCCAGCCAGGTCTCTCTTGGCTGCCACTTGGTTTCTTCCGACGCCATCCTTTAATAGAGGCCCTGCTGAAAGCCCCCAGCTCAACTGCCCTCCGTCCTCCATCACTGCCTTCCCACACTCCAGTTCTGCCCTTCTTCCGGGAAGCCCTGTCATGACTTCCTCCTCCCACATTGGATGTTCCAACATGCAAAAGGACTCTAGGGTCTAGGGCTATGTTCTGTGTTTTTATTTTCCACATAGCATTTGTTTTGCTAACATTCATCTTGTTTATTTAGTGTTTTTTTTTTTTTTTTGTCTGTTGTCTCTGCCCACTAGGCTGTAAGCCCTGGGAGGTCAGGGCACATGACTGGATGAATGTTAAAATTTTAAAAGGTGTTTGTTCAACTAATAATACCAGAATGGAGGAACCAGCAATTAACGTAATGGCTATGTCGCTGGACTCCCACGTAGTAGACTGAGGTTCGCGTCCCAGACCCGGTGGCTTAAAACTCATGCTGGGCGTGTGTGCGTGCGTGCCCAAGATCCCAAGAGGAGAATGGAGGAGAAGGGATTGCTGCGTGACCATCTCCCCTGGGGGGTGATTTCTTGCTTTCTGTCTCTATGTCTCTCTCTGTCTGTCTGGCGAGCGCACACGCCCTACAGCAAAACAAAACAAAACAAAACAAAACTCCAAAAAAAAAAACAATACCAGAATGTCTCTTCTTCAGCTTTCTTCTGTCTGTCTGTCTGGCGAGCGCACACGCCCTATAGCAAAACAAAACAAAACAAAACAAAACTCCAAAAAAAAAAAATAATACCAGAATGAATACATAAATGTCTATTCTTCAGTTTTCTTCTGATCTCCAATCTTGTTTGTTTTTCTTTCTTCTTTTTAAAGATTTATTTTATTTAATTTTATTTATTCACTCATTTATTTTAATTTGACCAGAGAGAGAGGGAAAGTGAGAAAGCAAGCTACCAGATCCAGGACTTGAACTGTGGTCAGCTATGTGGGAGTGTGCAGCACCTTAACCACCATGCCACCTGCTGGTCCCTGTTTTTCTTTCTTAATGTCAGAAGACACATGTGCCAGAAGAGACATACAGAGAAGAAGAAGCAATGGGGGATGGTCATATTGCAATTCCCACTTTTCTCTGTCCCGTTGGGATTTTGGCCATGCACACGTGTTTTTTCATGCCACTGGTCTGGGATTCGAACCACAGTTCACCATGTGGGATTCAGATCCCTCCCACTAGGCTACTGGGCGTGGCCCTGATCCTCAGTCTTCCGGCAACCTCCAAGTCATATCCTCTCCCAGCACTCTGGTCGTTTCTTTGTAGCTTTTCATGTAGTTTGTCACTATCTAGTTCTTGGTGTACCTGTTTGATGTCTGCCCCACTGGGCTCCAACCACCCTGCCAGACTCATGTGTATTCTCCTTATCTGGCTCACCACTGTGCCTCCAGCACCCAGGGCAGCACCTCGCACGTAGCAGTTCAGATAAAAGTTTGGGGAAGAACGAGAGGACAAATGGCTCCCTCCCTTAAAGCAGCGGGAGGTGGGGGCTTGCTTGCACATCAGTGACTCACAGTCAGGCATCTTCACGTGCATGCCCGGCCGGTTGCCACGCAGCTATGACCAAGATTTAGAGGTGTGGAGGTTTGTGCCAGGAAGGAGTCACCATCCCAGAGAGAGGGCTGCAAGCAAGAAGGGGCAGAATGACATAACCTCTTCCTTCCTCAAGCCTCCATGGGAACTCAGTTTGCCATAGGACTGGGGTGGGGAGGGAGAGGGGGAAGCTCTACTGTTTGGATGGCCTGGGAGAGGTAGAACCAAAAGTAAACTGGGAATACAAATGTGGAGGTTTCAATGGCCCATGATTAAAAACAAAAAAGAAAAAACAACAAAAAAAAACAACTAATTAATTAAACAAAGGGGGGGATGTGCTTTTAACATGTACAATCAAAGAGGGGGAGAAAAAGAAAACACACGCGCACACACACACAGCACAAACAAAGCCAGAATTGAAAGGGACTGCCTTTGTGCAACTTTACAATAACAGACATGAACGTCTAGATACAATTAAACCTTTTCTTAGAAAATAGAAAGGATCGGAGCAATCTGTGGGACTGCAGTGCTGGAAGCCACATGCTCACCACAGGTTCAGATCCGCAGGTCAGCCCGAGAACATGATGAATGCCTGCAAGATCCCAAGGAGCCGGAGGGCTGAGGAAGGGGGGCTGTGGCATGAGACCCTGCCAAGGGGGCCTCTCTCTCTCTCTCTGTCTAGTGCATTCACACGGCTTTTCTATCCATATTCAAAACTAGTGTAAGAAGTGATGGCAAGTCTGACTAGGCCAATAACAGGAGAAGAAACCGAATGAGCTAAGATTTATCCTTTCTAAGACTGGTTCAGATCCTGACTTACAGATAAAATCTGTCAAAGCACTAGAGAACAGATCTTTGCCTTTCTATACTGAATGTTGGCAGATCTTAACCAGAGCCAGGAAGCCCAAGATCAGCTGTGTGTGGAGAGGGCGCTGGTTGGGCACTTGCTCTGAGGCCCTTCACGGGCAAGCGCATGGTGCATCCTTCTACCACATATTCTGTGGAGCGCTCTGGGGGACAGCTACCATGGCTCACTGAAAAGTCCTTGACTCACTCTATGAAACAAGTTCTACTATGTTACCCAAGCCAGAAGCATATGGCATAAGAAAGGACAATTCCTGGGACCAGCAGTTAGAGTAATGGCTATGTTGCTAGACTTCCACGTAATTGACTGCAGTTTGAGTCCTGGACCCGGTAGCTTGAACTCACGCCGAGCACGTGTGCGTGCGTGCCCAAGATCCCGAGAGGAGGATGGAGGAGAAGGGATTGCGGCATGGACATCCCTCCGGGGGGTGATTTCTCGCTTTCTGTCTCTCTGTCTCTCTCTGTCTGTCTGGCAAGCGCACGTGACCTATAACAAAAAACCTCTCCAAAAAAAAGAAAAAAAAAGAAAGAAAGGACAACTCCGGGTGACAGCAGGTGGCATGGTGGTTAGGGCGCTAAACTCCCACATGGCTGACTGCGGTTCAAGTGTTGGACCTGGCAGCTTGAAAATCACACCAAGTATGTGTGTGTGTGTGTGTGCATGCCCCAAATCTCAGGAGAGTGGAGGAGAAGGATGGCAGCATGGCCATACTCCCGGTGGGTTCTCGTGACTCCACATGTCCTATGTCAAAAACTTTAGAATTTTTTTTTTTTTAAAGGGAAAGGACAACTCCAGGCCAATCTCAGCTATGGAGACAGATGCCAAAGTCCTGAGTCCAATAGTCACAAATGAGAACGAAGACTTCAGGAGAGGGACTGAGGCTTGCAGAAGATGGAAGGACGGAACAGAGAGAGGGGTGGAAAAGAAAAGATGGAGTAGATTTCCAAAGAGGAAACCCTACCTCTTAGTCTCAGGGTGGGGTAGGATTGCTTCTCCACCCTGAAATCTCCCGGGCATGAGAAACTCTAGCATTTATGCACTGGACAAGGGCTGAAGAGCCACGCCTGGGGTTGCCCAGGATTTGGCTTGTCCCTAGAGCATGAAACTGGGAAAGAGATTTGATGAGCTCAAGCCGGTAAGGTGACACAATTAGTCACCCTCGATAGGCAGAGCCCAGAGAAAGAGGAAGCTCCTGGGTCTCGGGCCCGGGATGCATGGCTCTGGGTGGAGCTGAGTGTCCAGGGTCTGCAGTGGCACCCTGGGTCCTCTGAGGGGAGTGGGCCTTGGTTGCCCTTGTTTGAGCCAAGCCTGAAAACACGTGCAGATTCTCACCACACCTGGCCACCCACACACATAACTCTGCCACCCCCACTTGCTCACACCCGACACATTCCTTCCGGCCTGGTCTTCCCACTAGCAATCCCACTTCCACCCTCTGTATGTCTCTCCCCTTGGCACCAAAACCCAAATATCTTTCACCTCTGCACCCAACTATACCCACCCACTGGCTCTCATTCTTCTGGTCTCAGCCTCCCTCCAAATGAGCTCCCAGATAGACATGCTGACCTACCAACTACCACCTGCCCTTCCTTCTCACACCTTCTCCACACCCTAGGCCAAACTCTCAGCTGGGTCCCCCTCCAACTGGTGCCATGATGTCAACACTTGGGGGTTCATGTTGGGGCTTAGGAAGCCCTGGGGGAGAGGAGGGCAGGAAGGATGAGCTTCTGGCCCCCAGCCCAGGTACTGGCTGACAGTCTCCTGCTGCTCTAGGTGTTCAACCCCTCCCCGTGGCTGCCTCAACCGGCTTTTCAGGAGACACTGCGTCCTGTCCCAGCTCTTGGCAATCAGCCCCCTGCCCTTGCCCAAGGGCTGGGAGGCAGGAGGCCTGGGTTCTGTGATGAGAGTGTGATCTTGACTCCCCAAAATGCAACCCTCTCCTAGGGACCCTATGCTGTTCTGGGACCCAGGGACTTTGCTCTCTAGCATTTTAAGAGATTCAGGTACAGGCTGTCCTGGGCTTCCTTGAATCCATCCACTTGCCCAGTCTATAAATATTGGGTTGTCAGAAAAATTATGACGCATTTTTTTACATAGGAAAACAGAAAGATATGCATGACTTTTGTGCCAACCCAATATTTACCCAGACAATGTTCTAGAAGTTAGGGATAGAGTTTATGGAAGTTTATGACCTGGTAGGGGAGAGAGACAATAAAAAATAAAGGTAATTTCAGATCACAGTAAGTGCTATAAAACAAAAGGATGACATTACACGGTATAACTGTAATGTCCTGTTATTGTGGTCAGAAGTAGTCAGGGAAGGTCTTTCGAGAAGGCGGCATTTGAGCCAAGTTGAGAATAAGGAGCAACCAGCCATGTGGAGATTGAGGTTCTGCATTCTTTGCAGAGAGAAGAACGAGTAGAAAGATCATGAGGCAGGGATGAACTTGGTGTGTTTGGGGAAACGTCATGAAGCAGGGATGGTGTTTGAAGAACAAGGAGCAGGCCTGCGTGCTGAGCACAGTAAGTGAGGGATGAGGGGTGGCCCGCAGAGCAAGGTCTGACGACTCCCTCGACTTCCCTAGAGTTTTTCTCTCCCCAGGAAGGACCACACCTCTCATCCTTCTGGATTCTTACCCCTAGAGAAGCTGGATAGTTAGATCCCTAAGGAAAGTGAAGTATCAAAGAATCCCTTGGGCTCCAGGGGCGAAGGTGGGTTTGAGACAGAAGGCCTGGCTAGTGGGTGAGGAATGAAAAGAGGAATTGGTTGGAAGGGCAGACACTCTTCTCTGGGGTGGAGGGCTGAGCTAGGCAAGGAGCAAAGATGCCAGGGTTCTACTCATGACTCACCCTCTCTTCCTCCTCCTCTCCATTGCTCAACCCCAAATCTCCCTGGGAAATACCTCTTTGACTAGGGACCAAGTCAGTACCTCACAGGGGTAATTGAGTCATGAGGGGTGGGGAAGAGGGCGGGAGAGAGAGATAAATAGCAGCCTTGCTTCCCTGGCTCCTCTCTGCATCCTTTCCACCTCCCCAACAATATGCATCTTGCCAGTTTGGTCAGCTCTTGCTCCCTCCTGCTGCTGCTGGGGGCCCTGCCTGGATGGGCAGCCAATGATGACCCCATTGAGAAGGTCCTTGAAGGGATCAACCGAGGGCTGAGCAATGCAGAGAGAGAGATGGGCAAGGCCCTGGAAGGCATCAATAATGGAATCACTCAAGCTGGAAGGGAAGTGGACAAAGTTTTTCATGGACTAAGCAACATGGGAAGCCAGGCTGGCAAGGAGGTGGACAAGGGCATCCATGGACTCAACAACGGCTTGGACAAGGTAGCCCATGGGATCAACAATGGCATCGAACACACAGGAAAGGAAGCAGAGAAGTTTGGCCATGGGGTCAACCATGCTGTTGGACAGGTTGAGAAGGAGGCAGACAAAGTAATCCATCATGGGATCCATCATGGGGTCAACCAGGCAGGAAACGAAGCAGGGAGGTTTGGCCAGGGGGCCCACCATGCCCTGGGTCAGGCTGGGAATGAGGCTGGGAGGCTTGGCCAGGGGGCCCACCATGCTCTAGGGCAGGCTGGGAATGAGGCTGGGAGGTTTGGCCAGGGGGCCCACCATGCCCTGGGTCAGGCTGGGAATGAGGCTGGGAGGCTTGGCCAGGGGGCCCACCATGCTCTAGGGCAGGCTGGGAATGAGGCTGGGAGGTTTGGCCAGGGGGCCCACCATGCCCTGGGTCAGGCTGGGAATGAGGCTGGGAGGCTTGGCCAGGGGGCCCACCATGCTCTAGGGCAGGCTGGGAATGAGGCTGGGAGGTTTGGCCAGGGGGCCCACCATGCCCTAGAGGAGGCTGGAAAGGAAATAGAGAAGTTTGGCCATGGAGTCCACCATGGGGTTAATGAGGCCTGGAAGGAGGCTGAAAAGCTCGGTCAGGGGGCTCACAATGCTGTTGGACAGGCTGGAAAAGAGGGGAACAGAGTGGTCCAAGGGGCCTATCATGGCGTTAACCAGGCTGGAAAGGAGGTGGAGAAGTTTAGCTCTGATATTCATTATGCAGCAGGGCAGGCTGGAAAAGAGGGAGACCACCTAATTCATGGTGTCCATTCTGGGGTTAACCAGGCTGAGAAGGAGGTGGAAAAATTTGGCCAAGGTGTCCATCATGGGGCTAATGAGGCCTGGAAGGAGGCTGAGAAGCTCAGTCAGGGGGCCCACCATGCTGTTGGACAGGCTGGAAAAGAGGGAGACCGAGTGGTCCAAGGGGCCTATCATGGCGTTAACCAGGCTGGAAAGGAGGTGGAGAAGTTTAGCTCTGATATTCATTATGCAGCAGGGCAGGCTGGAAAAGAGGGAGACCGAGTGGTCCAAGGGGCCTATCATGGCGTTAACCAGGCTGGGAAAGAGGTGGAAAAATTTGGCCAAGGGGTCCACCATGGGGTTAATGAGGCTTGGAAGGAGGCTGAGAAGCTCGGCCAGGGGGCCCACCATGCTGTTGGACAGGCTGGAAAAGAGGGAGACCGAGTGGTCCAAGGGGCCTATCATGGCGTTAACCAGGCTGGGAAAGAGGTGGAAAAATTTGGCCAAGGGGTCCACCATGGGGTTAATGAGGCTTGGAAGGAGGCTGAGAAGCTCGGCCAGGGGGCCCACCATGCTGTTGGACAGGCTGGAAAAGAGGGAGACCGAGTGGTCCAAGGGGCCTATCATGGCGTTAACCAGGCTGGGAAAGAGGTGGGACCATTTGGCCAGGGAGTTCATCATGCCGTTGAACAGGCTGAAAAGGATGCAGACAAAGTGGCCCAAGGGGTCCACAATGGGGTCAACCAGGCCGGGAACCAGGCAGAGAAGCTTGGCCAAGGGGTCCACCATGCTGCTGGTCAGGCTGCAAAGGAAACGGAGAAGCTTGGCCAAGGGGTCCACCATGCTGCTGGCCAGGCCGGGAAGGAGGTGGACAGGTTGCACCAGAATGTTCATAATGGGGCCAACCAAGCCGGCAAGGAGGCCAACCAGCTGCTGAATGTAGGTGAACAGGGGCGGGGACACTGGGGAGAAGAGGGGTTGGGGAGGGAGAGGTTAAACCCTTGGGGCGTTTGGGGGAGCCTTTGCAGCCTTTGGTCACAGCAGTTCGGGCAGCTATACCACCATGCCTCCCCTCCCCCTTCTCCATCCCCCTTACGAAGGAGCTGGCGGACAGATGGTCAGATGGCTTAGGCCAACTTGCCTGCACAGCCCCGTATCAGATAGTGTAGAAGGAACCTAGCCCACACCTTCAGGGAGCTACCCTCCTGGGTATGGGAGCCTAAAGTGAGGACCAGGCAGCTCTCCCGGGGGCAGGAAACAGTTACTGAGATGAGATCTAGCGTAGTGCAAACAGGTGAGGGACGCTGATGCCCGGAGTATGAGCCTGAGCATGCGGAATGGCTTTTGGAGATAAGCCCCATTCTGCTTCATCTTCATAACAAACCCTCTGAGCTAGGCAGGATGAGGATGCTGAGTCCCTGATCCCCAGATAAGGAAATTGAGGCTGAGAGATTCGGGAGATTTGCCAAGGTCCTGCGGTGGGTATCTTGCTTTGTTGAATAGCAGGTCCAGGTTCTTACTCTCCCGGATCAGGACAGGCCCTTTGGAGAATTTCTCTTACTCATTCACAACAGAACAGGCACCAAAGAGGGAGCCTGGGGAATGGCAGCAGGCTAGCTCTTGTAGCCTTCAACTACCCGTTCTCCAGCTTCCATGGGGAGTTGTTGGGATCAGCAAGGAGAGACGCCATCTTGAGGACTGGTCCGGGGCCCCAAGCCCAGAGCTGATCTACTGCCAGGCAGGGAGCCCGGGCTAGTGGAAGGGACCATGAAGCAGGAGTGCACAGCGGTGGAGAAGGGCCTTAAGTTCACCTGTGGGATTCACAGAGCAGAGGCCAGGAGAGGGCGGTTTGTTATGGACTGAGACTCACAGCAGCAGCTGGGGGGTGGGGTGGAGGGTGGTCGGGGTGCCTCTGACAAGGCCCAGCTTGCCGAGTGTCTGGGGACAGGATGGAGGGCAGGGAGCAGCCAGTTAGGGGCAGGGCTAGGTGTGTGTAGAGGGGATAGACTTGGCGGTCAGGGCTGGCCCTGGTACTCGCCCGGGTTCTCTAGGTTCCCTTTCCAGTTAGTCCCTTCTCCAGGACTCAGAGCCTCTCCTTAGGTAAGATAAAGGGGGTTGGGGGAAGACTAGTCGGTGAGAGGCAGACAGCCTTCCTGGCTTTTCCTCCATCGCCCACAGAATCCCCACAGCAACAAATAGCCTTTGGTTTTCCTTCTGGACAGTGAGGAGGCAGGGGGTTAAGCTGTGCTCCTGCCCCAGCCTGTCACCCAGAAGGGAGCAGGTCACTGGGAGACTGTCCGGGGTGGAGGGGTTATAATGGTGGCCTGGGCTTTGTTTACAGGGCAGCCATCAAGGCGGATCTACCGGCCAGCACGCAGGGACCGCAACCACCACATTAACATCTGGAGTAAGTCAACTGTCCCCTTCGGGTGACACGTAGACTCAGAGCAGTGGGAGTGGAGGCCACGTGGAGTTTCTCTGGGATGGTGGTGGCGTTCCCCTGGGATGGTGGTGGGTCAGTACCAGGGACTGACCTTCTTGTCCTTGAATCCCAGGCCTCGGTCAACAAGCCCTTCATCAACTTTTCAGCTCTGTGGAAGGTGAGTGCTCCCCTGGGCCCTGCTTTCTGCTCTGTCTTGAGAAGTACCCCGACACCCCCATCCCACTGCCTGTGGGCGGACAACCTCTGTGGGCAGCTCAACCTTCGCAGAGAGCAATCCAGCTTGTTTTCCAAGCCCTCCGTCTTCCTTTTCCTCACCTGTGCTTTGCCCTTCACACCCTGCTTGCTTTGGGGTGCTTTTCATTCCCACTGAGACAAACACAAGGTAGCAGAAAAGACCTCTGGGGACCTGCATGCATCTGGGAGCCTCAGAAGAAGGGCTGCGAAGCCTCCCCTTCCGCACGCCTGTCATCAGTCCTTGTCATCTCTCTGGTTCCCATGGCCTGCTGGCTTCCCTCTTTAGCCTGCTTGCTATGGACACCTCTGCTACCCTGCCCCTGCTGCTGGGTAGCTAGAACTTGTGGCTCTGTCCTTTCCCGCCCCGCCTCCGGTAAAGATTCCTGTGGGACCCTGGTGCTTAGTCTGGGCCTAAAGTGAAGCCCCTGCCCTCACTTTGCATTGAGTGCTATTCTCTGGCCGAGGCTGGGGCTTAGGGGTGAGGGTGTGTAACAGCCCCACAGTGGAACCCAGGGCCTGTGAGGCACAATGGACACAGCTTCTTGGTCCCTCTGCCTGGGAGGACTGGCTCCTATTTTTCCTGTCTTCATGCCACCTTCCTTAGATAATTCCCAAGGCACCGTAGCCGGTCTCCCTCTGGCTTCTCGAGAGGGGAGTGGGGCAGAGATAGCCCGAGACTGTGGACCCTGCATTCACTTCCTCTCTCCTCTCTCTTCCAGAGCGTCGCCAACATCATGCCCTAAACTGATGTCCTGGCCTTGCTGAGCGCACTGTTTCTGTTGTCATACCAGCTCACGTGACCTGGAGGAGCTGGGGGTGGGGGTAGGTTTCTGGAGTCCCGCCAAGGGCTGTACTGAGATTTGTGAATAAATGTAACACCCTGTACTCTTTCATCGCGGTCCACTGTGCTCCCTAAGGAGGGCTGGGCAGGAGTGGGGCGGATGGGGAGGCTTGTCTCTTCTCTTCCTTGCTGAGGGAGCTGTGCGAGTCTGATGCACAGGATGAGCTGAGCTGGAGACGTCAGGCCGGTGAGCTCTACAAGGGCAGTTGGCAGGACTAAGCCATGGTCACCTAGGTGCAGACTGTGTGCTCAGCACCAGGAGGGTCCCCATGCAGGGAGACACTGCGAGCCAGTGGTGGGGACAGAAGCACGAGGGGGGAGGGGGAGAATGACGGGAACCTAGGTGGAGCTCCGAGGAGGTAGCATCCCCATTCAGGGGTGTGGCACCTAACAATAGCGACTTGTGTTCATTGTGCAATTAAGCCATGCCAGGCTCCTTGCTGGGTGCTTTACGGGGGTGACATCATTGGATCCTCCTAACCACCCAGTTAGGTAAGAGATACTGTTATTGCCTCCGTTTTATAGGGCAGCACGTGGAGGCTTGCACAGGCGAAGAAACAGGATAAAGTTTACGTAGTAAGTGGAGGGAGAGAAACAGCCTAGGCGTTACAAAGGGTGTCTGGGAACGGAGGACTTCTCCTGTGTGGTGTCGGCAGGCAGGCGACTCGGTGGGTAAGGAGGGAGGAGATAGGCGTGGAGGATCCTATCAGAAGAAGGGAAGGCTGCGGCAGAGACACGGATATCAGGACAGAGGAGGGCCTGTGGGCCACTGACACGAGTGAAGACGCAGAAGGCCGGCTTTCAGAGCTCTGGATCACTCAGCGCAGAGGAATGATTTTAGCAACATCTTTTTTTCCCTTTTGTCTTTCAGAGAGATTTCTCTTTAGGGTGCATGTACTTGCCAGAGAGACAGAGAGAAACAGAAAGTGAGAAATCCCCGCCCCAGGGGGATGGCCACTCCGCAATCCCTTCTCCTCCATTCTCCTCTTGAGATTTTAGGCACATACGCACACATGCCTGGCATGAGTTTTAAGCCACTGGGTTCGAGACTTGAACCACAGTCAGCTATGCTGGAGTCCAGCGACGTAACCATTATGCCACTATCCCAATTCTAGCAACTTGTATAGACTGAGTACCTACTAGACTCCAGGTACTGTGTGAAGAGCTGTTCACAGTCTGCTACCATTTTAGTCTCCACTGAAATGCAGACGGCCCTCCTGTCTCTCCCGTCTGCATGAAGAAACTGAGGCTCAGCGGAGCAAGGGTGAGGGCACTTGAGGGGTAGCCTGTGAGAAAGCAGCAGGCCCGGGGCTGGTTCCCGAGCTGTGGTCAGAACCTGACCCCTCACCCCTGCCTGGCAAGTCTCCAAGCACCTCCCAGCCCTGCCCAGTTCCTGGGAGACCTGCATTCCACTCAGGAGCAGGTACCCACAGCTGACTTCTAGGCCTACGGGTCAGTTACCGTCTGGGTAAAGGGGAGGACTACCATGGTGCTCCCAGCTCCAAACCTCCATCCATCCTCCGGGACCAGAAGTAAGAGACAGTGTTCTTACCCTTGAGGAATTTACAGTCTTCCCAGGAAACAAGGCCTATAAACAGAATAGGAAAACAAATACAAAGCGACAGGTCAGGAAGTACTAGAAGGCACCAGAGAGGGGAGGGACCTGCATTTGCACAGTAAAGGGATGCTCTTGACACTATGTTGACATGCTCACTGCATTTCCCCTTGTTTTTGTACCATCATTTTATTACACATTTCTCCCCCTTCTCTGCAGTGTTTTATTTGGAAAATCTTTCAAATAAACCAAAAAGACGAAAGAATTTTTGCAGTGGACGCCCGCATTCACACCACTGCCGCTCACATTTTACTATACTTGCTCGATCACCGTTAATCCATCTAGTCGTGAAGCCATCCATGTGCGATGCGTTTCCAAGCTTCAGGCATCTGCTTACTGCATTTTAATAAACAGAACCATCCCCTCATCGCAGACATGTACTGAGGGGCTACTGTGTGCTGGGCTTCATTTCAGATGTTTATTTTTTGGGAAAAAAGGGATTATCCCTTAAAGGAAAACCATAACTGATCTTTCTTCTTTTTTTAAAAATAATTATTTTATTTAACTTATTTATTTTTATATTTATTTATTTTAAAAATAATTTGCTTAATTTTTTATTTATTCATTCATTTATTTTAATTTGACCTGAGAGAAATACACAAAGAGAGAGAGTGAGAGCGAGAGGGAAAGTGAGAAAGCAAGCCACCAGGCTCGGGATTTGAACTGTGGTTGCCCATGTGAGAGTGTCCAGCAGCACCTTAACTACTATGCCACCTGCTGGTCCCAATTTATTTATTTATTTTTAATTTGACCATAGAGGAACAGAGTGAGCAAGAGAGAGAGAGAGGGGGAAAGTGAGAAAGCAGGTGGCCAGGTTCAGGACTTGAACCACAGTCAATCATATGAGAGTCCAGTGCCCTTGACCACCACGCCACCTGCCAGCCCTACAGTAACTGCTTTAATATATATATATATAGGCCTGCCATGGGGCTCTGCCCTAGGCATTGGAAGACGCTGGCAGGATGAAGACCATTCTCAGCAACCAGACTGTCACCATTCCTGAGAATGTCGACATCACACTGAAGGGACACACCGTTATCGTGAAGGGTCCCAGAGGAGCCCTGCGGAGGGACCTCAACCACATCAATGTGGAGCTCAGTCTCCTTGGAAAGGAAAAGGAAGTTGACAAATGGCAGGGAAACAGAAAGGAGCTGGCGACCGTTTGCACCATCTGTAGTCACGTCCAGAACATGATCAAGGGTGTTACGTTGGGCTTCCGCTACAAGATGAGGTCTGTGTACACTCATTTCCCCCATCAACGTA